GGCGGGGGTGCCGGCTGTCCTCGGGAGGCGGCTCCTGGGCCGGTCGTGTCCTCCATAGGGACCACGCAGGGCTTTTGCTTCTCTGTGATGGAGAAAATCAGATGCAGACATTGCACAGCGTAATACGGGGGTGACAGATAAATAGCCAGGGTTCGCTTGCTGGTGAGTTAAGTATTTCCTGGCCTTTAGGAGGATTGGTTCTGTGTTGTTACAGTCTGATAGACAAGAATATGGGCTTTAATATGTGTTGTAAAACATGGGTTCTGTTTAGCTTTTGCTTCTCTGTGATGGAGAAAATCAGATGCAGACATTGCACAGCGTAATACGGGGGTGACAGATAAATAGCCAGGGTTCGCTTGCTGGTGAGTTAAGTATTTCCTGGCCTTTAGGAGGATTGGTTCTGTGTTGTTACAGTCTGATAGACAAGAATATGGGCTTTAATATGTGTTGTAAAACATGGGTTCTGTTTAGATTTTAGATTGAAATCTCTGGCACCATTCAGTTGCATCTCTTCCATGTATCTATGCAAACATATAGATACACACATGTATTGGATGGTGCCTCCCTTTCCTTTGCATTTCAGCTTATAGCTCTATTGAAGCACTTCTAAGCGTGCCATTAGTGTATAAGCTTGGACCCAGGGTTGTTTTGTCTAACTGCTGTACTATCCTTGGCTTTATCTCATGTATGCCAAAAAATACTTGCAAATGCATTTCACGACATCACTATGTAATTACTGTTATAAACGGCTTGTTTTTCTCTTGTGAGAGGGTCAAGAAGTTTCTGTTGCCCCCAAGCAGTGCTATAGCGTTTGCCCTGCAGCAGATCTTGTAGAAATGCGCTCGTGCAGGGGTGTGCCACTGCTCAATTTAAAGTGTGTTCTTTAGGCAGTGTGTCCTCTGGCCTTCAGGCTCCCTACATACAACTTTGGGGGGTTGGTTTCAACGTTGTCGGTTTGCTGTTTAATGTACCTAGGGTAGACTGCATCCGTTTTTCAATGAAGTCTCTCCTGAGGACAGTGAAAGGGAAAATCCTCATAAAATTTAAGAGCATTACCTTCCTCTCACTGCATTTGTGAATTCTCTGAGCATAGATTTGTTTTTGCTGTTCTTTGTACAGCTCAGCTTTTGATTTGAACACAGGCTGCAACATACACAGCATGTACCTAGCTGTCCTGAAAGCAGCACTGTGTATTTCTTCATAAATGTAATGTAATGTACCCTTTAGAGGCAAAGGATATGGGGCAGTAGCAGCATTTGCAATTACCTGGTAGATCAAAAGGCACTGGGCAGCACTCGTTAATTTAAGAGCCTTGATTGCTGGAAGCTTCTTGATAAGCTGCAGATGAGCCTTGAGGCTGTCGGGCAGGAGGTAGAAGTGGAAACGTTTGGATGTGGCTGTGGGAGCACTCTGTTTGCCCGAGGTGCTGTCAAGCAGCAGAGCACGTTGGTGGGAAGCAGGGCACCCTCTTGTCTGGAGTCTGGTAAGATTCTCCGTCGCCTGATTTCAAAGTCAAAGGTATTTTGCAGAGACTTAAAAATTTGGATACTCAGGCATACTCTGGGGAAAAAATAGAGGGACTTCAGATCAGCATTGTGTTTTAAAAGCATCCAAAGTTGATATATTCTGCCTTTATTTTTTCCAGAAGAGTGTTCATAAACTTTGGTACTAGGTGCTGAAGGCTCGTATCTCTTACCTCTATTGAGAATTGTATCTTAAAAATCATTCATAGGATTTTCTATTAACTCTTCTCATTTGCACTGCATGTAACATACCACTCCATTTCTCTCGATCTCCAGCAGCAAAACACCTGAGGAATGAATGGTTCTGTGTTATGCAGCCATTGCAGTAGCAAGGTGTGCTTGAGAGATGAAGTTATCTTCTTATCAGACATGATAACTGGCTACTGAGAATTTTGCTTACACATCTTAGTGTGTAATTTCTGCAATATTGAGTAGGGCAGACACTGGTATGGGAATGAGACCTGGAGCGTGTTTCCAAAAAAATCGTCTGCCTCCAAGAAAGGAAACCTGCATGCAATCATGTGAAGAATCAGATTTTCATTATTATTTTTTCCCTTGATGCGTTTCACTGATGGTATTCGCTCGTAACCGTAAGGCACAAGGAACAGGACTTTAAGTTTTTGCATTGAGCTTTTCATGATACTTGGTGGTGTGAGTTTTTAACATTGTCATGCGTGGTCTTGTTTTTGGCCAAGAGCTGGAAACACTTCTAGGTTCTCACTGTTCAGAATGTGAAAGTTTAGCTTGCTCCTGCAAATTAGCCCATACAAATGTAGCTGTTCAGGCCCTGAATTCCTGTGCGTTCCGCAGCGAGGGCCTCTGCAGCTGCGTCTCCCCGGGCCGCTGTCGCGGTGCCGCCGCGGTGCCGTGACGGAGCGGTGTCCGGGCTGCGCGTTCCCGCAGCCAAGCCGGGAACCTGCCCGCCCCGCGGCCGGCAGAGCACGGACACTCCGGTGACAACACACGGCTCTGAGTTACAGACACGTTTTCAGTAAAATTGTTTGTGTTTCCAGCACCCCCAGGATCTCCTGGTTAGCTCCAACAGACAGTTTACGTCGCAGCAGGACGGAGCCATGTGCTCTATTAACTGGTGTGGCATAGACACAGGCAGAGCTGGTCCTGCAGGACTCTGGTCTTGCCTTTGTACTGACTGCTGTGTCCGTGTGAAGGATCCCTGAGTAAACTTCTGCAAGGCTGGTGTGTTTGCTTTGTGTTCTGAGCACACCCCTAGTCTACAGAAACTTAGCATTTTTAAATAAAATGCTTGCAAACAATTTCTTTTTAGCCTAAAGAAGGTGATCGTAAATTGTATCCAGAAAGTGTTACTGTAACTTTGTCTAAAATAACACAGGTTGCATTGCAATTTAAAGCAAAACTGTAGTTTTCAACAAAACTGTACTTTCCTTCTGATTCTGTTTAAAATAAACTTTAAAGGAACTATTGAGACGAGCAGCATATTTTTAACATGTAAACTATAACACTGTTTTGATTCTAAGGAAAATTCCAACACCTAAATGGAAGATAGTTATGTTTCTAGATACGTTTAGCTTTCCACATCCTTAGAGCTAATAACTTCTCGTGACTTCTGATCATCCTTACTCCTGGTGTAAAGACCAGCTATGGAGTGCCCTGCGTGAACAGCCTGTTCCTGCAGAATCTAAAATTTTCTTGTTTTCTGTTCATGTTCCTGGTATCTTTCCTGTTTGTTTTTGTGTTGGGAAAGGTAATTGGCATCTGGTATTCGTATATTACAACATTATCTGTGACCTCTTTGAAACAGTTTCTTGCTCTGAATTCACTGAAAGCAGCAATTTAGTCAATTGTTAGAAAATTGTTTTGCTGGTTCATACCCAACTCGGTAAGAAGTGAGTAGGCAACTTTTTTGCGTGTTTTGTCTTCTCTTTTTATCTTGCACCACTAATTTAGCTGTAGCTTTGTTGTTGTTGTTGTTATAGTTTTGTGGTGTTCTAAACCCACTAGCAGAATCCTGTCTGGTATTAATACTTGATGCCTTTTAAACCTCTTCGGGCTTGGTGTTTTTGAACAGATAATTGTTATGTAAGATACTGAGTGGACTCTGAAGTGTCTTCTAGTGAACTTGCATTATTTCCTGTAATTGCCTATGCATACAGATAATGGCATTTTTAGGGGAT